TTCTGTCCTCAGGCTCTGCCCTGCGGGTCCCTCACTCCTGTCATCCTCCCCTGTTTTCACAGCGTGCTCTGTACAGGGTGTTCCTTTGTTCAGTGCTTGTCCCTCTTCCATTTGTCTGGCTGGATCTCAGGCAGAGGCTGCGTGGGGTGAAGCAGAGGCTCCCCTGGCGGAGGCCCCAGGCACAGCGCCCAGCGCTGCAGCAGACACAGACAGGAGTTTCGCGGCGGTTTCTGAAGACAGGCACATGTGGATCTGTTCAGCCACCTGGTTTGTGCCTGATGCTGGCACAGAGGGTGAGAAAGGCAGTGCTGGGGGAGGTCGACCACAAAGACTGGCTGACTGTTGCCTGGATTTCATCAAACATTTACTTCAGAGTTAAAATCCAGCAAGCCCACCCCTGGCCTAGCTGTCAGGCATAGCTTCCCAAATTCTCCAGCACAGGTAGCCTTCCTGCAACACCTGCCCTGAGGATGCCCCCTCCTCGCAGATTTCCCCTCAGGAGGTGGTCCAGAACTTTTAGGCAGGGACATTTAGGGGGGCAGTTGGTGAGGGGAGGACACCCTCCCCCCGACCATGTGTATGGTAGGCATACTGATGTGACTTAGAGTGTGCGTTCATCTCAGGTAACCAGCAGTGCATGGATTTGGGGCAATTATTAAGGACCAAGTCCCCAACAACCATCACACAGAGCCTGGGGGCAGTTGTTTATAGTGTTTAGGGCCAGGTATTAGTCTCCCCAGTCTGCAAGTTCCCCTATGTGAGCCTGGTTTAGGTGTTCTTTGGTTGTTAGCTTGTGTTTGAGTTTCCCCTATTCTTCCGTCCCCTATTCCAAGGACATAACAGCCCTTTGAGTTACTTCGATTGCTGTGGGGTAGAAATATTTCTTAAAAGGCTACTTTAAGACTCACTTGAACCATCTTTCATCAGTGGTTTGGTTTGTTGGAGAAGCAATACAAGGTATTGCTGAGTTGCCATTGAAGAGAGGAAGGAAAACATGAGGAGAGCAGGGAGAGATGGAGCCTGGTCAGGTGAGGAGGGGACCTCCAGTACGGAGCCTTCTGGCAGGCCATGAGGGCGGAGACCCGTCCTTGGCATGGTGAGGGGAATGGCTGCCCTGTGCTCTGGGCACCAGCTCTGCCAGCCTGGGCAAAGATTCCTGGGCCCTGAGGTAGCAGAAACTACACCCAGACCAGAGGCCTGCGGGGTGTTGGACAAAGAGAAGAGAGTATGACGGGTGGGCTAAGAGGCCCTTCCTCCCCTAACTTCCTGGGCTCTAGGAAGGAAGTCGCTAGGACTCTTGAGTGACCTTGGGGAAGGGAAGGCAGCCTTGATCATTGAGAAGATTAAATTCCCTGCCAGCTGGTCAGGATAGGGCTCTGAGTTGGATTTAAATGGACCCGATCTCATCTGGTTTCCATTTTTAAAAAATAGAACATCTTTTGTCCACCTGGGTTTATGCAGGAAGACTCCTACTGCCTGCTGCAGCCAGCACTCAGAACACTGCATGGGCTGTTCCAGGGCGCATCCCTGAGCCAAGTAACTGTGAAACCCACAATCAGCTTCCTTTGTGCCCCTCAGGAAGGAGTTGAGGAGGCCCCAGCCTTGCAGACCACTTTGATTGACAGTGGCTTCAGGGCTTCCCTTTACCAGGCTGTGGTGAATTGTCAGCTCCTTGAACAATAAAGCCCCTGCACCCCCACCATGTTCTCCTTCACAGGTGATCTCTCTGAGCAGAGCCACCTGCCTACAGCTGCTGTGGGCACAGCACGCAGGGACAGCCCCCACCTATATGAGCACCCTGTGTGCCACTCCTCTTCCTAGAAAGGCTCAGTAAACTTTCTTCCTGTGACCTTTCTTCATAGGAAATGGCATAGTAAAGAGAGACAGGACTTGGGAGCAGAAAACCCAGATCCAGTTCTGACCTTATCGCTAGAGCTGGGGCATTCTGCTTCCCTGATTGTGTCTCTGTGTAACACGGAAATGAGAGCCACTTCACAGCAAAGGAAGTACCAGGTAAGTGACAAAATGCTGTACTGCTGTAAGGGATTCTTCAATGCAAGGGACCAGCTTCTCCCCCTTCTCTCTTTAGTCTTCCCTTTAAAGAACTAAACCTGGAGCTTCAGAGCATGTGACTGTTTCATCTTTATCTGGACAACACATGGTCCAGAGCTTTGCACACTGAGATCTCTGATTCACATTAGAATAAACACGGAATCCATTACATAAAAAGGGTTGTGTGGCCCTAACATCTACCTGTTATACCACAGTGGCTGCTGCAGTGGGGCTAAGACCTAGCTCCGCCCCTACCTCTCCAAGCTCTGGTGAGTCTCTGATCTCTTTGGAAAGTATACCAAACAAGGAAATGTTTGGTTCTAGTCCTGATTCTTTCATTTATTGGGTGTCATTTCACGTCAAGCATGTTTTCCCAACTGTGGAATAATAAAGGGGGCAGAATGAAGAACATGAACAGAGCTTCCAACTCAAAGCCCTCAGTTTCCCTGTCAGTGCAGAGGGAGGTTAACAAAGTCCTAGACATTCCCCGCCCAGTCCTGTCCTGTGTGTGAGCAGGGAGGGTGCAGAGCTAAGTACTTGACCCCTCAGAGCCCATCAGTACAGCAGCCCTTTAAGGTCTTTACTCCGCTTGACTTGTAGGGCCAGGGGGACATAGTGCATATGGAGAAACTGAGGATACTGGTGGTGCAGGGACCCCCTGCTGGCCCCACTGTGCCCCAGCCCACCCGGAGAGCCCCAGTGAGCTCATGTCTGCAGTAACCTCGCTGCTCATAATCAGGATGATGAGATAAAGCTGGAAGCCAGGCATAGGTGAGAAGTGATGGGTGCCTCTTTAGGAATGTGGTACCCAATTAAAACTGCCTTCTGGATGGCTCAGGTGGATGCTGGGGCTACTCCCCCGGGCCATGCTGGCCAGCCTCCAGGCTGAGTCAGTCTGCAAGAATTTACTGAGGGCCTAGTACACACCAGGTGTCCAGTAGGGTGCTGGGGAGACAAGGAAAAATAAGAGCCACACCAGAGAGCACAGTACATCTGTCCTAGACTCACTTTTGGAAGCAGACTGTCAGAAAGCCTCAAAGGTTCTGCTGGTTAAGCCCCCAGGGCCTCTTTTTAGTCCCCACCAACCAAAGCTCCATATTTTCCTCCCCACAGGCCCCAGCTCTAAGCCTCTTCCTCTTTCTTCCAAAACAACCATGGCCCTTGACTTTCCTCTGGCCTGCTCTTCCTCTTACGCTGGTATGAATCAGACTGCCGTCTCCTCACCTTCCCTGCTTCTGGGACAGCCTGGACAACTCTCTGTAATGTCCGCCCACAGTACGGACATTAGGCTGATTGTACCCTGTCCTTGGCAGGGTTCCGGAAGAGGCCACAATGTGCAGCGACATCTGTGTTACTAAAGGATAGGCTCATTCCCGAGATTCTCTACACAAATTCCCTATCAAAAGTGAATTCAGGACGATAAAACTGAACAGGAAACAGGCCTCAATCAAGCAAGGGGACTTCCTCTCTCTAGAGACATGTACCCTAAGGGAAGACATTAAACAAGAATAGGAACCCCTATTCTTGTGTGGTCTCCCATGGTGTGTGGTTAAAGTAGACTGCTTGTGTTAAAATTCAGGCTTTCCCCTTTACTCTGTACCTGTCTCCTTCAGGACTGCATTCCACTGTGAGAAAGAGACAACCAAATAACCCCACAATTTTGAGGGGGTGGTTATTTTTCTCATGTAATAAGAAGTCACAAGATAGGGAGTCCAGGAACGTGGCTCCAAACGCCATCAGGAACCCAGGTTCCTTTTATCCTTCTACCCAGCCTTTCTTAACATGCACTTCTTGCCTCATGGTTACAAGATGGCTGCCCCACCTCCAGCATCAAATCCAAATTTCAACCAGGACGGGGAAGGTCAAAGGACTTGTTGATTCTCCATCCCTTTTAAGAAGCTTTCCTGGAAGTCACACACAACTTCTGCTTACATCTTATTGGCTTGAATTGGTAAGAAAGGCTGGGAAATATATTTTTACTTGAGCATATTACTGTCTCCCCAAAAATCATTTTGTACAGATAAGGAATATTAGCTGGTATAGCGCTTTCAAGGAGAAAGGTGAAGACCAGATTTCAGGAAAGAGAATGTGTGGGCAGAGGTAGAAAAAGGAGGAGCAATGGCCCTGTTGCTTCTGACAAAGATTTCTTGCTTGGCCAAACTTTAGTCAGGTTCCTGACCCTTCTCCTAGGCTCCTCTGTGCACTTACTGTAAAACCCAGTTTTAGCAAGAATTCCCAACCCTCGCTATCTGATTACCTTCAAACCTAATCGGGTTCCTCAGTTTCCACCGTCTGCCAAGGGATGTCTGACCATTCCTGCCTGTCTTCATCAAGAATCCTATTAGTCAGAATTCCCCTTACTCCTAATGTTTCCTCTTAGTAGTTTTCCATTACTGACCCTCAGGAGCATGAGAGAGAGATGGAGGAGGCAAAGACCTGGAGGGATCCAGCCTCGCTGTCCATTGCCAAGCAGGACTCTCATTCACTCAGTTGAGAGTCTGTCCTCTCCCCAAGCATTGAGCCACTTCACCTGACTAGTGTCCACCCTTGCTTCCTTCTGCTGCAGGCTAAGCTCAAGGTGACAGCACCTACAGAGAAACCACACTTGAATCCCTAAGCGTGTGCTTTTTTTGCGTGTGGAGGGCAGGACGAGGGACGGTTTGGTGTCTTCTGCAGCTTTGTACCTTCAGCGTGTCTACACAGCTCCTGTGCTCAAAAAAGAAAAAATTGAGAATAGCTGTGACCGCGGGAGCCTCCTTACTCCTCCCCGGTTTTAGAGACATTCTGCTCCGGAAATTTGACTGGAGCCTTTCCCAGCGTTTCTGAGGAACCGCGGAGCGTTGCTCTCTCTGCGCGTTTGCCTCTCCCGCACTCTGCCGCCCTCTAGTGGCGCCGACTGCCGGGCTGCGAAGAGCGCACGCGCGCGCGCGCAGGCGTCCCCGGATAGCTGGCCATTTGGCGCGTGCGCACCGAGTGCGGGCAGCTCCGAGGACTCTAGAGGCAGGTAAATGCGCTGAAGTGGGCAGGTGGCGGGGACGGACGGGGCTGCGGCCAGAAAGGAGCTGCTGGGGGCTCGCGCCTTGCAGGTCCAGGGATTCCGGCTTTCGCTCCTCCCCGGGCGAGTGTGGTGGGCTCGGGGCGTCGCTTTTTGCCGGGGGCGCGGGGGGGGGGGGGGGGGGGGGGGGCGTGACCTGAGTCCGCCTCCCGGGGCTGAGAGGCGAGTGGGAGGATCTCTAAGGCCTGCTACCAGTTTGGTGTCTGTTGTTTCTTGAGGAGGTCGCAGAGTTTGCGAATAGTGGACAGGAAGGGGCAAAGCTGGACCAGGTGGGGGCTGGGATGTCCCAAGTCCTGGGGCGGTGAGAACCTGGGCAGGTTGGCGGAAGCGGCCCTGTTCCTCCTACCGTAGGAGGGGGATGGGGAGCAGTGCTACAAAACGAAGTCCTAGTGGAAGTTGTGCGGGTCTTTGGGATGACACTCGGAGAGGCAGTTGAGTCACTTCTGTGTTTTCACTTTTCTCACTGCTGTTAATTCTTCGCTCCTTGTGCAGTGCGGCCACTAACATGAACTCACTTGACTCCGCATCCTAGGACATGACACAGGTGGCACATCTCGGCCATGGGATCCCAGCATTCCGCCTTCACTCGCCCTTTTTCCTACAAGCGAAAGAAAGATGACAGAGAGGATACACTGGATGAACGGGAGCAGGAAGAAGCCATTGCCCAGTTCCCATATGTGGAATTCACCGGGCGGGACAGCATCACCTGTCTCACGTGCCAAGGGACAGGCTACATTCCAACAGGTGAGGATCTTTAGTCATGGGAAGGATGATTTCCCAGAGAGAGTTCCCAGGTACCCACAGGGTTTCTGTCTTTGAAACAGGGCTCTCTTATTCTAGCACAATATCGTTGTCATAGATAGTGCCCTGAACAGGAGCCAGCTCAGCTGACTTGATAAATTTGGACAGGTTCCACAATTTCTCTTGGTTCCCTTATATTTGAAAGCCTTTCTTTTCTTCACTTCCACTCTTTTGTTGGTTCCTTGGTTTGGAACATTTGGTCTTATTAAAGAACAAAAATTCAGTCGAGTAAATTTGAAGATCTAATTGGCTTTAGTGAGTGATTCATAAATTTAACAGCATCCCATTTAGCAGACATAGAGGAGCCCCAAGGAAGTCTTCAGTGTGGAAGGCTTTTATAGGCAGAAACTTGGGTGGGACATGAAAGTTGTTAGCAAAAGGAAAGAATTGTTTTAGGCAAAAGGGATTGTCCTTGGCTGGGTGGGGAGGGTCCACAGGACAGATTACATCATTGGTAGTGACCAAAAATTTCCAGGCTGACTGATTAGGATTACATTTCTAGAGAAGATTGAAACTCCAGTTAGGTCAGGTATTAAGTTTAGGTTTACTGTCATGGGCTTCAGTACAGGTGACTCTGTTTTGAGCCTCTGTTTATCTCTTTAACAGTTTGCTGTAGATTTGTGGACCAGCACATTTCTTTATTCCTGTCACTTAAAAGACCTGGCGCAGCTTTGGTTGGTGGGAGGTGGGGGACCACCTAGAAAGCTTCTGTTCAAAGGAAGCAGATGGTGAATCATTAACAACCCAAGATCTGGAAAATATGTATATCAAGTGGGGAGAGAAAAACAAATGCTCAGAAGTGGAGCCTGGATTAGGTGCAGAATCATCTATCACGAAGTCAGTCCTCCAGAAGTTATAACAGTTTAGATAGAAAGTCACAAAGGTTTAGGGCTGTAAGAACCACCTACTCCAAAGCTTTCATAATAGAGATGAGGAGACAGTGGCCTAGAGAGGCAATGCCTTCCCCAAGGCCATACAAGAAAGCCAGAACAAGATATTTTATAATTTGTGGCACTCTCTATAGATTTGCTTGTTTATTGTTTATTAGACCCAAAATGTGAAACGACTATTTTCAAAATGTCTAATTCCAAACAAGTATATGTTGTGGCAGGCTGATGTGCAATGTGAATGAAAGTACTACCAATATACAGCATTTATTTGACCAAAATAATTGTTTGGTTCTTTTCTAGAGCAAGTAAATGAGTTGGTGGCTTTGATCCCTCACAGTGATCAGAGATTGCGCCCTCAGAGAACGTGAGTTACCTGCCTGTCTTCTATTAATACCTACTTCTATTCCTAGTCCCTTTTTATACATATGAATACCAGTTAACTTTCGGAAAACTTTGATTTGTTCATGTAAATTGCTCCATTTCCTTAATACTATTTACTCAAGAAGGATGTCTTTTCCCCCATCACTATCTGGGGGAGGAAACTTGAAGCTAGGAACATTCTGAGAACCAAGTGAAGGAATTGAGTTGGAATGAATTGGAGAAGGGAAGTGTCCTGGGAGGTTAGGAGATGTTTCTGTCCACACATCTCCTCTCGTCACCTCCCCTTACCAGACTGCAAACAGCGGGGGCTTCTGCCATTCCACTCACTCCTGCCTGGTTGATGGTTCCTAGCCTTTTGTACTTTCCTGTCCCTCCCCGTCATTCCCGGTTTTGCAGTTAACCATACCTGATTGAACTTTGATATCTGACTACCCGAGTTGGTCATGTGCTCTGTCATTTGCAGTAAACAGTATGTCCTCCTGTCTGTCCTACTGTGTCTCCTGGCATTTGGTTTGGTGGCTTTCTTCCTGTTCCCACATTCAGTCCTTGTGGATGATGATGGCATCAGAGTGCTGAAAGTCACATTTAATAATCGGGACTCCCTTGTAATCCTTGCCATCAAGGTAAGACTTATGGCCTCCCTTCCAGGGTTGTGCACCTGCCAATCTTGGGTCTAGGAAACTTACACGTTTCCTCACTTGCCCTGATGCAGGCCACCCTGAAAATCAGGAACTCCAACTTCTACTCTGTGGCAGTGACCAGCCTGTCCAGCCAAGTTCAGTACATGAATACAGTGGTTGGGTCATATGTGACAACTAACACCTCCCTCATTCCACCTCGGAGCGAGCAACTGGTAGGCTGGGGGGTTTTTAGGATCCTCGCCCCATAGGCCTAAGAGTAGAGAGGGGGCTGTGGGAATGCCATTGCCTCTTTACTTTCCTTTTCCTTTCATTTCCCCTTATAAGAACTGGTTGATGAGAAAGAGCTGATGGGCTCTGTAATTATGAGAAAAAAAGGGGGGTAAATCAACTAGCACTTAAGTATGAGGGGAACAAAAGAACATGTAAAAGAAAGCAACTTGGTACAAATCAAGTAGAGGCAGAATGATAGTCTGAGGTCCACTGGCCTCTCAAAAGGGAAGAGGTTAGAAGAATTTTTTAGAGGCCTGCAGTCTGTATGAGAGACCATCTGGGGGAAATGTTTTGTGTGTGATGGAAGAATGCTCCCAGGTCTTTGGATGCTAATGATAGTAATGTCACTCCTACCTGGCCACAGACCAACTCTGGTGTTTTCTTTTCAGGTCAATTATACTGTGCAGGCGGAGATGGGAGGACCATTTTCCTATGTGTAGTAAGGACACCATTCTCTCTATGTGTACTCTCCACTGGATGAAGGGGATGTGGAATTGTACTCAGTTGACGGGCTGATCCTGCCTGAAGTTCCAGCCTTTGACCTTTAGGTTTCCTAGCTTTGGCTCTCTTGAGCCTTATTTGGCAAATGTGTGTTTTGATAATGGGACTGAAGTGCTGACATATCTGAAAGAGAGCATTAAGCCACTAGAAACATTTCTAAGCTCCAGCATTTATATGATGGGTGTGAAAGAACAGAAAGAATCATGGTGTGGGAGAGGAGAGGGCACCGGGGTTTGGGGACCAGGGAGCCATGGCAGTGCTGAGGTCAGGAGACTCGGTGTGGCGAGGGGGAGGTGTCCCAAACAGGCTGATTGCTCCTCCATTTAACAGTTTAATTCAGCAATCTCCTGCTGATTTCTCCTTTTTTTTTTTTTTGGAACTAAACTATTTCCATATTTGCTGTTTGGTAGCTTCTTCTGCACATTGCCTGATATCAAGGTGCACAACATAGTGATCTTCATGAGGTATGTCACTCTCCCTGTTCCATGGCCTTTGTGTTTGAGCCTGGACCGTCAGGCTATGTGAGCTTGCCATCTCTGCACAGGAGATCCTGCGGGACCCACAGGGGCACACAGCCAGAGAGGGGGCGCCCGCTGCCTCCAGGCCCAGATACAGTAAACCCTTGGTGTCCTCTACAGGCAGGGTCCAAACCCCCTTCACAAATCACCAGAGTCACAGTGAAGTTAGATATACAATGGAACCTCAGTTCTCAAGCTTAATCCATTCCAGAAAACTGTTTAAGGAGCCGATTTGTTTGAAAACCACATCTCCTTTATTTATTGCCTGAGAGACGTGTGTGTGACTGATCATACAGGTATCAGTATAAAAAGATTGTGAGGTGGAGAATCGAAAACTGAATTTTTGTTGGACAGCCAATATATTTTTTCCATGAACAACTTGATCAAGAATTGAATTGTTCCAGAATTGAGATGTTTGAGAATGTTTTCCATGAAACAGGGTCTGGTTTTGTGATCCCCTTAGAATCCTAATGAGACTAGTAAAGAACAAAAAGCTTTATCAACTCTTTGGCCAGACTGACTTTCCAGCCACACAAATAACACGTCACAGACCTCTAGGGGCACTCCTAGAACCATGACTGTTACATTTGCAGGTGACAGGGATCTGCTGTGGACGCATGAAATGTGAGGGTGTAGAGCAAAGTTTCCCAGCCTCGGCACGGTTGACATTTTGACACAGACAGTTATTTGTTGTAGGGTGCTTTCCTGTGCGTTGTAAGATCCCTAGCAGCTCCCTGGCCTCTGCGCACCAGGTGCCAGTCACACTCACCTCCTCCTCTCCTCGGTTGTAACAAACCAGGATGTATCCAGACAGTGTCAGGTCCGCGGTGGGGCAAAATCGTCCGCAGTCAAGAATTAAGGCTTATTTAGAAAATCAGTAGATGGCACAGCATGTCTGTGTATGTAGAAAGGTTTTCTTGCATAACCATGAAGATACGTGTATTGGATATTGGATATATACACTTGGATATTGTTGACTGAGTGTGCAAGACATTATTTGAGCAATTTTTCTTATTTCTACTCAAAAACAGAATTCTTGGTTTCTTTTTCCTAGAACTTCAGTGAAGATTTCATACATTGGCCACATGACTGAGAGCTCCTTGGAGACACATCACTATGTGGATTGCGGAAAAAATTCCTCAGCTGTTTAGAAACTGCTTTTGGTTCTTCCTTGGCAGCATCTGTCAGAAGAGACACAGCATCTGCTTCCAGGGCCTGAGTTCCGTACCTGCCGCAAGTGGTGGAAGTAAAGGAGAAACTGGTCCTCTTAATCCCCAGCACACACCCTCCTGCCCCTTGGGAGGAAAACTCAACTCTCTAGCACCGTTGATGTTTCTCCAAACCAGCAGAACCACTGCCCACCACCCAGTCTGTGCCCAGCAAATAATAGGCGCTCAAGGTGTGAAGAATTTAATTCAGATCTTTTCAGCCATTCTTAGAGCAGTGTAAATCGGAAGCATACCGTGGTACTAGGTCACAAAACCAGGGTTACATGCAGAGAGGACTGTTGGCGCAGCTGCGCAGCTGTTAGCAGGACCCATCTGCAGACAGGGCAGTGGGGGGAGGGGATATTTGAATACACAAAAGAGAGCACAGACCATTCTGTGAAAATTTTTCATCTCCCAAATGCCTAGTAACTTTTTTTTTAAAAGCAGAACTCTTTTTCCTTGTAGAAAGTTCTAGTTGTTTATACTAAGAGTCTATGTGGGGCTTGATTAACCCTTCATCCATTGGCTGGAACATGGATTGGGGATTTGGTAGAAAAATAAACCCTGCTTTTGATTCATCTTTGTCTCTGCTTGCCAGGATATCTTAAACACCTCTGGGGAACCTGTGGATGAGTTGCCTGCTAAGTAGGTCAGCACAGGATGGGACGGGAAGAGAAGGAACCCTGATTGTACCATCCCTGGAAACTCCTATAAGAGAAAACAGCCTCACTTTTCTGCCTCTGGTGGTGACAGGCTGCCCTATTGCTGTTCCAGAACAGAGCACTTAGTGCCCCCTGGAGGTTGGAAGAGGTAGGGCAGAGATGCCTCAGGAGTGAAGCTGCTTCCTGGGGAGGAGTAACTGCCCCCCCAACTGGCTAGTGTGAGTCTGAAAGTGTGTTGAACTGTCTCCAAGCTCCACCATCAAAGAGTGGGCGACTGCCCCACTATGGCAGAGGACCTAATGGGGAAGCTCAAGTAGTCAGGTTTCAGAACGCGTCTGAGGTGGCCTCAGAAAGCAACAGATGGTGCCAGGGGGATTGTATTAGTCCTCATTCCTGTAGCTTGATCTACAATATTTGCTTCATGATTTTGACAACACTGAGTCTTCATTTAACTAAGTCTAAACTTCGGGACTATTTCACTTTCATTGACCATGATGGAGTAACCCAAAAGCTGAGGGTTAAAAGCTGAATTTCAGTGTTACACTGGACCCCTTAATGGTCTATCTGAATGCAATAGTGAGGACTGTTCTGTGTATTGATGGTGGGGCACAACTTGGGTGGAAGCAAATATCCACCTTTTCTGAGAACATTGCCCTAAACCCATGGGGATGTTCACATGGCTACATTTTTCTCAGTTGTCCCATTTTTCAAATAGCCTCTGGTATATTTTCCATGTAATTTTGGAAAAGCTACTCATATAGATACTTAAGTTTTAATAATTTTTGTGACTGTGCCTCAATAACATTTCTTCTCAACATTACCTTTTTCAAAAAAAATTATTTTTTTAGAGGGGGGGAAGGGAGGGAGAAAGGGAGAGAAACACTGATTGGTTGCCCCTCCCACGTACCCCCCTGACCAGGACCCAAATTGATGACCCTTTGCTTTGTGGGACAACACCGAACCAACTGAGCCACCACAGCCGAGGCTCAGTATTACCTTTAAATCCAACTATGATACTCAGATGGAAGCGCTTAATTGTTTTAAACGGAACAGTAAGTCTGACCCCATAATGCTGTGAGTTCTCATACCTATTTATAGCCGTAGCACCCCGAGCTGCTCTTTGGGATGGTCTGCATAGTTTTGTCACGCTATCTGTCAATTCTCGAACAAATGCATCCAATTTGCTCTCAGCAACACCAGAATAGGGGAGGTGGCTCAGGTGTGATTGCCATCATCATTGGATTTCTAGTGGATTGAAATTTGGAAAGAATGTGTTTCTTGGCAATGAGGCTTCATCAGGGATCTCTGTAGCTTCTGGCATGGCCTCTCCTGTAACCCACTGCTTTGCTCTCCAGCTACTTACACGGTGTTACCTGGTTGAAATCTCCATTTGTTCATTTACTCATTCCAAAGAAGTATTTAAGTTGAGCACCTGCTGTATGCTAAGGATTGCATTTTCTGATGTGTTTTGTCTAGAGTCATAGCTAGAAGTTTAAAACATTATCACAAGCCTTTGTACTCACCAGGCCCCATCTCTTCCTCACCCCTAGTTACCCCAAACCTGGATCCCCGCAATCCCTGGCAAATCTGTCTAGGGATTCTAAACTCAAATGTGAGACTACTAAACTACTAAACTACTAAAAGACTCGGCCTACTTGTAAATGTTCTACGAGAATCCTAAGGGGTCTCAACTATTTCCTCTGTGCAAAATAATCCTTATTCTTTGTCTTTATATGCGTCCTCATCACCTCAAGAGCACTCAAGATCCTCTTTGTGTTCCTTCACTTGTTGAGAGGGGAAACTATTTCAGAAGTTGTTCTGTCCTAACCCAGGATCTAGAGCACTTGAGTAAGTCTTAGCTGGAGCGCAGACTCCTGACTCCTAGTTAAAAGTCTTCAGATACTTTTGTAGAGATGGGAAAGCTCAAGAGAAGAAACGTAACCTGACAGGCCTCATAGTTAGTAAACCAGGTCTGTGCACTCAATCTTGCTGGCGTCAGGATTTTTATCAGAGAGGTTATTCCAATTGGAGAGAATTTCTGCCTTTCCTGGGACACCGGAATCACAGGAACTAATACAAACCTGGTTACTCTCCCCTTCCCCTCTGGGCCAGAGCAACAGCAGTAAGTAGCATGGCACTGCATTTCAATTTGACCACACGGAGGCAAGGTTTGCTGTTCCTCTGCTTCACTTCCCTTAAGCTCCACCTCTGGTTCACTCCTTGATAACTATGCAACAGTTACTATAATTTCTAGATTTTACCAGGTGCCGAGGAAGTGGGTGGGCTGTGAGGGATCCCCTTGGTATCCTGGTGCAAATGGGACTTCTCATACAAAGGTCCGAGCTGCTGGTCACAATCTCTTGAGCTGCTTTAGTAAAAATAAGTAGCCTGATGTTGCTGCAGGAAGCAAAGTAAACTAGGAAGCAGGATGGGCTCTTGGAGTGTGGTTGACAGGGTCAACCCTAACTCAACTCTGCAACTCTACCCGTTGTCTAAGGAAATATTTGAACAAGCATCTCTACCTGCCACTGCTCTCTCCTGCCCCCCATTGGCTCTCTTAATAGATGAAGGAGTTATTTATTTTTCCAATTTTTTTCGTATTTTCTCCATTGCCATTTAGTCCCCTTATACCACCCCCCTCCCTGCTGCAATCACCACACTGCTGTCCATGAGCAGAGGGATTGAGCTAAAGGGAAAAAGGACTCATGGACAGGGTTGTTTATTTTAAATTATGAACTAGCCCTCTCTAGTGAAGAAAGTGATAGCTTCCTCATTTTCGCCACACGTACACAAGTCATTGGAAAGCAAGGGACATCTGAGCGTAGAGAGAAATGAGAGGCTGTCTATTCATAAGCCTGATGTTGGGAGGAATTCCAAGGAAGCTTTAGGTACAGAAAATGTAGAAGAGGGGCCAGAGGTACAGTGGCAGGAAAGAGGAATAAGGGGTGGGTTAAGCGTTTAACACTCCTACTGCTCCTTGACCTAAAAGTCTTAGACACAAATAAGTAGGGCACCAAGATTGTCTGATTGTGTGCTCTTAGCGTGGGCCCCTCCCCTTCTACCCCGTCTCTTCATCCCCTCCTCCCTCAGGAGGGTCTCGAATCTCTCCAATCTAGCAAGATGCAGCCCACACAGTGTCCCATCCCCTGAGCTCAGAGCATACAACTTCTCTTGCGCTAATCCACCCTAGCGTCCCATCCCATGTTCCCTCTCAAGAACCAAGCCATCCCTCTTCTCTGCCTCCCTTCCCAAATCTTGGTCTCTGCTCCCAGTTCACCCCTGGGTTCCACATGGTGCCAAGGTTTACAGAAAGGGGCACGGTCGTGTTTGTATGAGGTCACTAAACCAGGCAGTGTGGTGGCTTCAGTGCCCTCCCTTTTGGTTGAAAAGTCAACAGAAGAAAGCCTTAGGGTGGCTGTTTGATCATGCCTACACAATCACGAACTGATGGGAAATAAAGAACAAAACCCAAGTCAATATGTACTTTCCAACAATTTTTTTGTTTTTAATATCAATTGATGTTTTAAAAAATACAGAGGTGTTTGACACAGAATAGCACCATTGTGTGGGACACACAGTTCCTGCGCCCCGCACCTGAAGGGGGTCTTCTTGCCTGGGCTGGGGGGTAGTCACTCAGGGGGCGTTTGACTCACACCAGTTAGTTTCCTGCCTCTGCTTTGACCCAAAGGTCTTACAGGAAGACAATAAATAAATAGAACACCGAGATTTTATTTTGCAGTCTGCCCAGTTCAGGTCTCTTAGAACGAGAGGGGAGAAAAGTCCAAACTGTGAAAGGTTGGGATGAATGGACATCAGGTCAGGTCAGCCATTCAGTGCAGAGTCCTAGAGTGACTGGGATTGGAAAGTACTTGGGTCCTTTAGGTTTGCAATGGATTGTGTTGTTTCTGGGTTCGGGTTTTTACAAGAAGCAGACGGGCCCTATGTCCACACCAAATTCCTGCTCGGGCCCTCCTATGTCCATGGGTGCAATATCAATGATGGGGAGGCGCGAGGTCTTCTGTGACCGGTACTCGATCATAGTCTTGCCCCACTTACCGGTGTGTTTCTGTGGGGGAAAGAGAGGAGATGCTATTCAGTGGATGTCTTGCAATCCAAAGCCAGCTGCCCATGACCCCAAAACTGAGCGTTGCAGAACAGAGTGCAAACCCACTTGGTGCTCCTTAGACCTCCGCTTTGCTGGCCAGTACCCTCTTCACCTCCACTCCTGTCCTTCGCAGCAGGGCCTCCCCCACCCCGCCCTTCTCCTCTTCCCCACTCCCCACAGCGAGCTCCCCGCCTGTGACCCCCTCATCACTCCATCTCACAGTCGGCCCGCACACATTATGGGAGTCCTCCTCCAAGAGTCATTGGACACACCGGGTAAGGTCTTACTTCCCCTGAGCCAAGGGAGAACAGCCTACACCTCTCCCTCACCTGTCATTCTGCACATCTTCTCTGAATAACCCCTCACACTCACGCCTCCGATGAGCCCATCACTTCGAGAACACAACACCTCTACCCACTCTAGCCTGAGCTGGGCCCCAGGCAGCTCATCTCTCTGGCAGCTCCGACCAGCCAACTCACCGTGCAGCCATCCTTCAGGACTGTATACGTGAACCTGCTGTTGCCCTCAGCCCGGATCTCCACGTCGTTGGAACCCTGAATGAGCAGGGCCTTCTTGAGGTTGCCAGCTGCTTCATCCAGGTAGGCGATGCTGTTCTTGCAGTGGTAAGTGATGTTCTGGGAGCCCTCGGTGGACAGCAGGCGCAAGAAGGTCATCTGGACGCTGGCAGTGTTGGGAGCCAGGTTGTCATCTCCATAGCTGAACTGTTGGCAGAAAGCAGGGGTGTGAGGTCTGGGAGTGGCATTCAGTGAGACCAAGGGCTTCAGGGACTGCCAAGT